CTTCCATACTTTCTGAGCATATTGGTAATCTTCTTGAGTAATTTTGCCATGAAGATGTGTACTAAATTCGTGAATGGGAGGAAGTTCTGCCTCCTGAAACCTATCATGAGAATCGATATAGTCATAGGGATAAACTCCTTTGCGATATACTAATGCTAATTGCTCATCTGTATAGCCTAATTTTTTGAAATGCTGGCTTGTTATTGAATGGTTATCACCCAAATTTTTTGTAAGTTTGGCTAAGCTACTATTCATGAACTGCTTGCTATCGATATATTTGAGCTGACCTACCTTCATAGACTTATATTGCTCAAATGTTTCAGCTATAACTTGGATATGGAGAGCATTAGCTGATCGTCCAACAGACTCACAAACCAAGTGAGAGTCATAACCTCGGAAGTTGTGAAAGATAACTGGGATCGGTGTTTTCCAAGCCTGTATCTGAAGTTTAAGATTGCAATCCCTATGAGCTGAACCTCGAAACTTACCTGTGATATGACAGTGATTCCAAACCTTATTAGCCTTAGCTTTTTTACTAGCAATTGCCTTAGTTGCTTTTTCAATAGTTGTTTGGATACCATTATATTCTGCTGACTCTTTTTTAAAGCTTTTTGACTTTTCTTTAATATATATTATTTTTGCTTCTAGACGTTCAATTCATCTATATCTATATCGAATTTATCTTTGCAAATATAACAACTAACTGCTTTGGCAAATTTTTTCTTATCCTCCTCAGTTTCTATTCGATCATGTTTGATGGTTAGGACCTCATTTATTTTGATCAACTCTTGATCAATTCTTCAAACAAATTCTTGTATTGCATTTTCTCCTCTATATAAGAATGGACCCCATACATCTCCAGTATCGATTTAATGAACCAAATAGCAGAAACTGTTGGCCTTCTGCTCAGTGAATTTAATCATACTTTCACTATATGTCTCATTACATTTCTTATTATCAGCCTCAAAGTCAGCTGTAATAACACATGGAGCATTGATCATTTGACCATAGTTTTTGAACTTCTCATAATCATTAATTCCTTTCACTAGCATTGTGGCTCTTTGAGGAACATTTTCATATATTCCTGGACACCATTCTAAATGATGTTCTAGAGACTTTTCAGAAGGCTAGCTTATAGTACATTTATCACATAAATACTTCTTACCATTATGGGCAGTATCTTTGGAAATTAATCTGTTAATATTTTTGATCCAGAGGAAATGGTTCTTTTGCCAATATTTACCTGTTTCGTCATTTTTAGTAATATCTGTAAGGGCTAATAGTCAAATTTTATGTTTTCTTTTAAAGTTTTTACTAGCTATCACAGGTTTTGGTGTAGCTATTTCTTCTTTTCATTTCCAGACACTGATGGAGATATTTGGATTCATCTCCTCAATCTTATTAAATATACGTGAGCAGATGGGAGTGGGCATTGGGATTCCATCTAGCTTGACTATATCTAAATATGGTTTATATTTAGTAGCACAAAAGATTCTTTCAAGATGATCTGTATGCTCATCCTGATCTACAAAATAGCAACCTAAAGCACCTTGAAGACATTTTTCAGAAGGTTTTTTCGTTTCTGGATCAATGAGAACATAATTATCAGGATTGATAGTACACTTTGTATTAGCTAGCTTCTTTGGAATATGAATATAAGATCCTTCTGTTGCTCATTTGCATTTATATACCTCAATAGTTATTTCAAGAATTCATTCGAGAACATATCCAGATCCCTTTTTAAATCTTTTCTCAATCTTATTATCTATTTCTCTAGCAGATTTGGTTATATGCTCATCTATATGATTTGTTAAAAGTAAATATCTCATCTTTCCTCTTTCATGATTGTATTCATATGATATATTATTTTTACCATCTGAGTTTCTTTTAGTAATTGAATACAAACACAATGCTACTATAGCTGATTTTATTTGGTCTTTTTTATGAAACCCTGTTTGAAGAACTTCTATTATTTTCAGTCTAATTAATCCCATAAGTTGGAGCATGTATGGAATTTATTTATATTGTTTAGGATTATCTATTGGTTGCATAAAAGCATATTTAGGATTGTTTTTAGGATAAGAAACTTTTCCTAACCATTTGCTCATTAAAGATCGATTTTTATGTGATCTTTCTAGATCTCTTCCAACTGGGCATTCTTCAAAAATGAGATCCTCTTGAGCGTCTTGTTGCTCAATCACGCTGGGATTAACCACTTTTGGCTTCTCCTTTCTTCGATCCTCTGGTTGGGGAACTTTTAGCTTCTTTTGTTTTTTACTAGATGATTTTTCTATTAAATCGAACCATTCTACATCTGTCTTGGGTAGCTTTTGTTAGTAATAGATGGGTTGTTTTTTATTTCTGGTTTTGCTAACCAGTTAACCAAATCATCTATAGACAAATTAGTAGTTTGATTCTTCTGTGATTCTGGTTAGGGAATTGGAGTTGGAATATCTACTTCTGCTTGTATCTCTTGAATAATAATTTCAGGATCTGGTCTGCATTGATTTTTATTACTTTTATAATGCTGACGAAGTTTAGCAGGTCTTGTAAATTTATAATCGCAATCTTTACAAGTAGAATTTTTCTTATCACTTCTAGGCATGATATTAATAAGTCTCAACTGTTAATTATTGTGTAAACTTTTGTTTAAATAAAAATAATTACCTCTTTGGGTGAACGTCTTGTCGCTACCCGGGCCTTCTCATAAATTCAAAGCCAGAAAAAAGAGGGATAGTGTCGAGGATGTTCTGGAAATATTTCTGGAACTCAATATGTATGCATTTATATTACTTGATTTTTTTTCATGTTTTGCGTACATGCTCTGCACCTTTGATGCTCTGCAACCTTTGTGTACATATCTAGTATACATATGTTTTGCATCTTCGATGCATTGCAACCCGTCACATCTTCGATGCTCTTCAACTCGTGAACATATCTTGTGTACATATGCTCTGCATCTTCAATGCTTCTCAACCTGTGAACATATCTTATGTACATATCTTGTGTACATATGCTATGCATCTTCGATGCTTCGCAACCTGTGAATATATCTTGTGTACATATGCTCCGCATTTTCGATGCTCCACAACCCGTTGCATCTTCAATGCTCCTCAACCTGTGAACATATCTTATGTACATATCTTGTATATATATGCTCTGCTTTGCTCTGCAGACTTGGCATTCATATTTGCTTTATGATTTGCATACCATCTGCCCACTTATTACTACCCATATTTGCCTCATATATAGCATACATTAAAATATAGTAGCATATGATCGAAATGATATAGCATCTATATTCGCTTCGCTCTAAAGGATTCGCTCATATTCCTGCTATATCGTTTCTCCTGTCGAATACGTATTCACTGGCGTCGCCCTAAAGGGCTTTGTCAGCTCATACTTATTCTCCTATATCAAACGCGTATTTGTCATCACTCCGCTCCTCCTCATGCTTGTTCTTTCTTGCTACCTAAGCAATATGCTATTGGGAGGCAATTTGATTATAATGTATGCGAAAAATTAATGGGTGAGACTTGATAAAAGGTGTGACTTAAAGGTGTGATTTTGAGGTAAGACTTAGAGGTGAGACTTGGCATATA